CCCATCGGAGAAATTGAGCTAACTGAATACAAATTGTCGAAGTGTGTGCGTTCACTCCTGGAGCATAACCATGGAACATCATGGAACTGGAGAAAGCATGAGAAAGGAAGCTGTTTGTGATCATTGTATATATATAATTGAGGGAAACTGCATTTTCCCAGGGCCATGCCACCCACTTCCATGATTCCAGTGACGGCAAGCCGCGCAGAGAAGCCATTGAGACTTAACACCAGCGGACGCCGTCGCTGAGGAACCCCTATCACAACAATGCACATGCTGCAGAGGTGCGCTGGGCCACGCTGCGTTTGTTGTTTTGCCTCGGATAGGAAGAATGAGACAGTTTCCCATGCAATTTCCAGCACCTGCAGGTTCATGTGGGCCTTCATGAACAATTTGGACTTGAGTCCAGGAAAACAAAAGCAACATGCTGGGTGTTCAATGCGGCATCATGCCGTTGAAGAAAACATGCAGCTTTTGACTTCATCTGACATAATTTGTGAGGCTGTTGTATATGTATACCATTTTATACCAATTGTCAGCGCCTGTTTCTCTTCAACCAGGAGCAAGACACAGTTCGCGCATCGGAGACCATGTGTGGGCAACCAATGTTTTCTTGGAGAGCAGTGCGGAGAGCAGATGAGAATAGCATGTTCCCTGCAATTACTGTACCCAATGACAAAGTTCCATGTCCACCTGCAGAGAACTGGTGCCACCCTCCTAAAGACGACGTCGGAGACAACGTCCTTTCATCGGTTTTCTTCTAACTAAGTCCTGCGAGGGACGCGAAACTCGGCAGGGCACCTATTTGACGAACCTGCGGTTGAGTGGTTGAAACAGAGCTGTTCATGCACTGCAACACCCTGGGAGTGGAGCATTTTGACAATGGTTTTTATCATTTTTAGGTGATCATCTCTCGACTGGACGTTGCCAGGTCACCTTGATGACCTATCAGATTTGGTCCTACCTCTCGGCCGGTTCCTTCAAGGGCTATTTCGAGCAGGCACGTTGACACCATGCGCGTGCCCGAAACGGGCACCGAAACGGGCAGCAGCTTCCGCTGGCGGTCCCAAAGCTTCAGAAACATGGACGGCTTCGCAGAAATCCGGATCGCAGAAACTTGAGAAAACCATGAACTACAGGATTTGGGTGGTTTTTTGTTGAGACCATCACCCGAACTCAGTGGGTGAACACCAGACATCTCATGGGTTCTTGCTGAAGGGAACGGGTGAATGACGGAATTTTCTCTATAGGATCTATAGGTGAATCCCCTTTCGAATCCTCCACCTCAACCTCACAGGAGGAAATTCCTGCAGAAAAAGCAGGCCAATCAAGGCCGATACGTTCCGCCGGTCCCGTCCGCTGGTCAAGACGCTGGGATGCGGTCAGGTGGATCTCCTGGTGGTCTTACTCGCCGCGGCCATCCATGATATTGGGCATCCGGCCACCAACAATGCCGCTTGGAACGGACGGAGTCGGGTCAGGTACCCGCAGTGTTTTCGCAGCGTTGGGTGTGGGCCTGTGTGTGGTTTTCAATATGTGAATCACTATATAATCATGTGCTATTTTTGAGGATACTTGGAAGTCAGGTCTGTACTGCCAAAGGTTTGATTGAATCCAGGTGTTGCTGTGGTTTCGCGGACTTCTAAAGAGGAATTGAAGTGAAGATCCAGAAGGTCATCAAGGAGTGCTAAAAACAGGGGCGATGATGACTGTTGAGGAAGCAACCCCGTGAAAGCTCATACAGCTTGGCGGCTTGACTTGCTGACGGCAGGTATCCAAAGGTGGTTTCATGACTGACTCGGGTTGTGCCACATCCGAGTTGAAGCCTCCTTTGAAGACCCTTGAAGCTGATCAGATGTTTTCCGATTGAAAGGGGGGATTCAGGAGCTCAAGCAGCTATAGGGCCGTATCCATTTATCTCATTACATGTCCATTTTTTGCATGTCCTTTCATTTCTTCCTTGGATCGCCGTCTTCTCTTTTTGATCAAGTGCGACACCTTGTTCAGGTCTTCAACATCACACTTAGAAAAACACACACCAATAGCAATGGCCTCCAATCTAGCAGCTGCTAGCAATGGCCTCCAACCTACTAGCGATGGACCCCAGCCTACTAGCAATCGCCTCCAACCTAGTAGCAATGGCCTCCAACATACTAGGGATGGCCTCCAACCCACTAGCGATGGCCTCCAACCTAACAGCGGTGGCCTCCAACCTATAAGCGATGGCCTCCCCTTTTCTTTGGTGTCGAGTCGTGGTCGGACATTCCTTCCACTCGCCTTGGCAGCGACAGCATCGCGCGCGCGCGCCAGCAGAGGACTTTTTGGTGAAGACCAAGACGGAACTCGTGGCCTGACTTTGAACATGGCGTTTGGAACGTGGCGCCTGCTCCCCCCAAAAAGACGGCCATGCTGTGTGAGTTGTTGTGGGGGAAATCCCATGAAATTACATGAAATTCCATGGTTTGGGTGAAAGTTATTGAAATCCTTTCTTTTTGTGCTCCGGTAATTATATATTCTCGAATATTCGAACGAACAAGAGCCTAACTTCAGGTGGGACGAATGCTTGGCCGTTGATCATTCCCTATTTTTCTTGAAACAATGCTTGGCTTCAGGACAGGTAAGCCTCAGGACCTTTTTGACCCCAGACCACAGTCAGATGGGAATTGGTGGGCCTATGGATTTTTGATGAAGTCCAATGCAGCAAGTCTTCACAAGTTGCTCCACCACATGGACCGATGGACCGATGGACCACGGCAGTGTCATGATCCCACCTGTTGGTCCGTCCGTCCGGGGGACCCGTCGTCCCTTTGGTGCCTCCCCTCCAGCGGTGTTTGCTTCACCTCTATAGGTTAAACCATGTGAAACCCTTGCCAAGGGATCTAAAGATGTGGCGCTCTAAGTTAAGATGTATAATATATATATATATATATGTAATATAATATATAGTTCTAGAGCCCATTTGACCCCCTGTTTGGAAAACACGAAAACAGACTATTTTGGGTTGTTGGTGGTCCAAACTAGAGGTCACTCAGGTTCCATGTAACATCTTTTTGTCCTTGGAACCGCTTCCCACAGCCAGTTGCATGCAGTGGAAAACGGTCCATCAAGCACTCGGCTAGACCGGAGCTGTCATGCAGTGTCATGCTGCGGATCCCTGTGTTTTGCCTCCCCAAACCCTCCACTCTTCCGCTGAAGATGCTGAAGAAAGCCCAACCCTTCGATCCCGCACAGCAGTTTGCTACTAACACATGTTTCCAAACAAATCACATGTTTCCAAACAAATCCAGTCCGGTCGTAACTTCTCACACCCCTCGCAGCGTTTTCCCCAAATGGAGCACACACCGGTAGTCGCTGAGGCCTTGCGCTACCACGACACGGCAGTGCTGGAGAACTTCCACTTGGCCACCGCCTTCGAGCTGATGCGCTCCAGGCACGACGGAATGGGCAGTGTAGGCCCCAGGAATGCCAACAGAGGTTAAGTGACCTGAACTAGGACCCTACCAGGGTACCTATGGCCATAGCCTTTTGGGGTTCTTCAACCTCTGTTGGTGGCGGGTTGAGGGAGTCGTCGGACGCGAGTTGTTTGAGAGATAATGGGAACTGGTGGTGTGTTTTTGTGGTGGAAATATGGCAAACAAGCTGCTCTAAGTGGTGGTTTATGTTTATGTAAGCCCTTTTTGATCATCACTAGCTGCTCACCTGAACTTCTCGGTGCCTTCCTTCGACAGCTGAGCTGAATAACACCACGGGGGTTGGCCACGGATCTGAATGAAGTAGAGTAGAAGCCAGAGTGGTTTCAGATGGCACAGACGGTCCCCGGGGGATTCACTGCCAGCACCGACCTCTTAGAGCTTGTAAGAACCACCGGTGTCGTGAACGAACTCCTTCGTGACGCGTGACGTTCGACCCGACTGAGGAGCGTCTCGATGTTGGACCACAACTTGCCCTCGCCACCCGTGACGTCCTTGCGGCGTCGCATCGTGGAGATCGTCCTGGCGTGCCTGGGACGGTGGAGGGAAGTGAGCGGTGGGCGGAGTGGCGGGGAAGGAGTCGCGGTGAGTGGCGCGACTTGGAGAACCGAGAAAACAAGAGGAAATGGATGGAGATGAACATCAATGAACATCCTGTATACACAATTACAGTGACAGGTGAAAAGTTATAATTCAAATTCTTGTTTTGTCGGTTCTTCGATTAGAATATTGATGATAGTAGCAGTAGTCGTCGTCGTAGCAGCAGCAGCAGCAGGAGGAGTAGTAGTAGCAGCAGCAGGCGTCGCAGCAGCCGTACCAGATAAATCATGGAGCTGCCTTTTGGATCCTTTGGGGGATCGTTGGACTTGTCTCAAGTGCACGGTTTCATGGCGGGCAGCAAACAAAACATGAACTGAGATTTGGGACGGTGTGCTGTCAGTATCCACAAGCAGCACATTTGCATTTGACGGGCCCAACCTCTTGCCGGGCTTGGCGCCTTCGACCCGTTTGCATGCTTCTCGAGCTCTTCTCAGCAACATGGCGATCCACGGACTGAGGACTGACATGGCGGTCCACAAGAAGCAAGTGGACGACTCTTGGGCTTCTGACTCCCACCCAGTCGTCCCACCTCCACTGCTTCGGCCGATGCTTTTGAGAGAGGGAGAGTCAGAGAGAGAGGGAGGGAGAGAGCTGGAGTGATAGAAGAACGTGGAACTATACATGGCCCCAGATGTGTTAAGTTGCTTGAGTTTAGTGTTTTTGCTCGCAAGAAGTGTTTTGCACCAATGTTGTTTGGAAAAAATGAAAGAAGTGTTTTGGTGTTTCCGTGGCCAAGTCTTAAAACACTTCCACAACCAATAACCATTCGACCCTTCTTCTCACCCTCAATACCCTGAAGCACTACAGCCATCAGTCACAAATTCCCAAAGCGCAAGCACCAAATGCCGTTTTTCTTTTAACAAAAAAATGCAAGCAGTCTCACTGATCCAAAGATCAGCTCTTCTTGAACAGCTTTCGCAGGTCTTCAAACAAACTTCCTACAAAGTGTTTACAAAGTTTTGGATCCTTACAAAAAATTGACAAAGTTTTGGAATTACAACTTTTTTACCGAGTTTTTGCATTACAACGTTTTAACAACGTCTACAAAGTTTAAAAATAGAAATAACAAACTTCACAAAGCTTTGGAAACTTACAGTACATTAAATTCTACGAATTTTTTACAACGTATTGAACCTTTAGATATCTGAACAAAGCTTTGGACATTTATCAAGCTTTGAACAAGTTTTGGAATTTTACAAAGTTGTTACCAAGTTATTGAGTTTGAACGTTTTTACAAAGCTTTTACAAAAGTTTTTGATGCTTACAAACTTTCTACAAAGTTTCGGACTTTTTCAATCTGTGTCAATACTTTGTAAACTTTGTAAATACCTTGTAAATGTGTAAAAGCAGTGTAAGCTTTGTAGAAACTTTGGTGAAATTCTAAAAACTTTGTAAACTTTCAAAACTCTGCAACAACTGTGTAAAGATTGAACAAACTTTGCAAACTTTGTCAAAACTTCGTAAACTGTTGTTAAAATTGTAAACTTTTTAAACACTGAAACACTTTAAACTTCGTAAACCTTTGTGAAAACTTTGTGTAAAAAATTGTAAAATGCGAAAACATTGTCAAAACTTTGAAAACACTTGTAAACTTTGTCAAAACTTTGTGAACTTTGTCAAAAAGTTTGTAAACATTGCAAACTTTGTACACTTTGTACTAACATTTTGTAAACTTTGTAAACAACTTTTAGATGTTGTAGGCCTTCGTAAACTCTATTTAAAAAAGACGTTATAGACTTCGTAACACTTTGCAAACTTTGTAAGACGTTTTTAAACGTCGTAAACTTTGTCAAAACATTGTAAACATGTTGAAAGACCTTGTGAACGTTGTGAAAACTTTGTAAACTTTGAACACTTTGTAAATTTCCTAAAAACTTTGTACAAATTGTGAAACTGTACAAACTTTGTAAAAACTTTGTAAAATGTAGAAAGAAACTTTGTAAACTTTGCAAATAAATAAACTAGCAAAACTTTGTAATCGTTGTCAAAACTTTGTACACTTTGTCGAAACTCTGTAAACTTTGCAAGACTTCGTAATCTTGGCAAAATCTTTGTAAACTTTCCAAAATCTTCAAAACTTTGTAAACTCTGTAAAAACTTTGTAAATTTGCGTAACAAAAGGCAAATGTCGCAAACTTTGTCAGAACGTTGTAAACTTTGTAAAAACTTTGTAAAAACTGTGTAAACGATGTAAACTTTGTAAAAACTTTGTAAAACTTTGTAAAGTTCTGTGAAAGAAGTGTTTTTGCACGATTTTTTGCTTAAAAAGAAGTGTTTTTCATGTCATTTGTTGTAAACACAAGTGTTTTTCACCAGCCATTGGCAAACTTTGTAAAAACTTTGTAAACTTTGTAAAAACTTTGTAAAAACCTTGTAAACTGTGTAAAAACTTTGTAAACTTGAAAAACTTGTGTAAACTTTGTAAAAACTTTGTAAACTTTGTAAACTTGAAAAAGCTGTTGTAAACTTTGTAAAAACGTTGTACAACTTTGTAAACTTTGTAAAAACTTTGAAAATGTTGTAAACACTTTGTGAGACTTTGTAGATAGACTCTGTAAAAATTGAAAAACTGTGTAAATTCCGAACTTTGCAAGAACTTTGTCAAATTCCAAAGCTTTGTAAAATCGTTGTAAACTTTCAATACTGTGCAAAAACTGTGTAAACTGTATAAACTTTGCAAATTTTGTGAAAGCTTTGTAAACTATGTAAATACTGTGTAAAATTTGCAAATGTTTGTACACTTTGTAAAGACGCCATGTAAAAATTGTAAAATGTGCAATCTTTGTAAAACATTTTATAAACTTTGTACAAGGTTTGTAAACTTTCAATACTTTGCAAAACTGTGTAAACTTTGTAAAAACTTTGTCAACATTGCAGCAACATTGTAAAACTTTCAATACGTCTTTAATTGATTTTTAAATGGTAAAACCTGTGTAAACTGGGTAAAAATTGGAAATTGTTCAAAACTTTGTAAACTGTGTTAAAATATTGTAAACTTTGTAAGACTTTGTAAACTTGGTAAGCGGTTGTAAAACTTTGCAAACTTCATAAAATCTGTGTAAACTTTGTACCAACTTTGAAAGCTTTGTAAAAACGTAGTGAACTTGGTATAAACTTGGTAAACTTTGTCAACACTTTGTAGACTTTGTAAAACACTTTTAAACTTTGTCAAACTTTGTAAGCTTTGTCAACCTTTAAACTTGTAAAACTTTGTAAGGACTTGGTAAAACTTTATTAAGACGTTGTAAAATTCGCAAACTTTGTAAAAAGGTTTACCAACCTTTTACGAAGTTTTGGAGTTCTTCAAATTATTCTTCAAAGTTAGCGCAACGTTTTACACAGTTTTTAGAACGTTTACAAAGCTTTATATTTACAAAGTTATACAGCGCTTACAAACCTTTCACAAAGTCTTAAGAATTTGTACAAAGTTTGCAACTTTTGCAAAGAGTTGACAGAGTTGTTGAATTACAAACAAATTTACAAAGGTTTACAACGTCTACAAAGCTTTTACCATGGCCGTTCACTCACCACTCACGAGACAAACAAACCTATGAAATAGTCCTTTGGGTCTCGTATGTTGCCACTAACAGCGCAAAAAAACAAGACGTGTTTTATACCCTCTCTTAGTTCTGAACAGCCAATTCTTCAGAGGTCCGCAAGGGTCAAAAACACTTCTTCTGCGCTAATTCCCCCGAAACAACGAACGACGGTCCCCAAGCAACTTAACACCCAGATGCAGTGCATGAACATAAACCTATAATAAGTGTTATCATATACTGTAGTATATACTATTATTATTATTATTACTATTATTATTATTGTATATAATACTTAATTTGTGTTGAATGAAGGTGGGTTCTTAGTGCAAGCTTTTGTCCATCAACCCCATCAACCATAGCACCCACACACAGGCATGAAAAGGGTGCACATATGAACACGCTGTGGGAGAAGTAGGATTGCTGGGGGCCCTGCCGCCATCATGCTCGACAGAACTTTGCCAGTGGATCCCAGTTACGAGAAGCAAGGAACCCTTCCGAAGGGAAGGAACCATTGATTTCATTGGATTCCTGGCAATTCCTGGATTTCAACTCTACAGCGACCGACAGTGACCACTGGCTGAATCACTTGCTCCGTCCGGGCCTACACTCCGCGCGATGTAATGACCGATGAACATTCGCCCAGGAGATGGTTCGCTTGGTGGAGCGGAACGTGAACCGCCAGGAGATTGACAAACGAACGCTGGAGCAGTGCCGGCCTTGGAACGGGGCACGCGCGCCACGCGCGCCACGCGCACGAGTGCAAGCGCCATGGGGTTTTGAGGGAACGGTGCCAACAGAAAGGCTCGGGTGAAAAGAGGGGCTTGAGAATCAGACCTTGGAGCATGGGGTGGGTCTTTGAAAGAGGCAGACCCTCCCAGCAATGGATTTTGGTGTTAGATTTACTTTTATTCCAAAGATCACTTAATCAAGGAGTTCCTTTGTGGGGTTTGCATGAAACGCTGAACATGAACACCTGGTTTCCAACAACTCTTTAGGCTCTTGGCCCATTTGGGGAGTGAAAAAGAATGCAACATGGCCTTCCCAAAGACCAGATTGCTTCCACCGGTCCCCTGCGGAGGTTTTTGGTGCTGCAAGGGTGAAGGAGGGCCATCCGGAGGGGAAGGTCACCTGCAAAGATGATGGGAAGGTCATCTTGCCCCCCCTCCTCCCGGTCGCCGGCTCGCGAGGTTTTTTCTCTCGCTGCGGCATGGTCGTCTTGTTCGCTGCGGTCTACGCGCTGTCGCGCATGGGACTCGCTGCAGGTATATTGTCCACACAGCGGATGTGGGACATCCCTTTCGGCCTGTGCCACAACACCACGAATGGGCCAGACGAGTGAATGAGTCTGGGCCAGACGAGTGAATTTTGGGAGCGGCGGAATTGCATAAGTTTCAAGGAAGGCTGGTCACCTGGAAAACCACGACGGTTAACATTGATTTGTGTTTATATGTACGTCATTGTTTCAAGATGTTTCAAGCACATCACTGTCTCCAAAGACTACAAGGGCAGAAATAGTGATTCTAATTATCATAAAATACAATCGGCCACTGAGTTGCCTAAAACTTGACAGAGTTGAGTGCCGAGATTTCCTCATCGCCGTTTCCCACTCAGGAGGAGTTCCTGGCGCAAGGTGATCGCGAGAAGGAACTGGGTTTCACCCCGATCGCCGCTGAGCGGCAAAGCACTCCGTTTGACCCGAAAGCGCACGCGTTCGGTACGGGGTGGAGTCTGCATCTGCATGAGGTCTGGTCAGCGCAGAGGAAGGAAGCGTGCAGTCAGTGCAGTCGACGCAGATCGGTTCAGTTCGGTCGGTTCGACGAAGGGCGGGTGCGCGAGTTGGGCCCAGGCACTCGACCTGGGGGGTCCATGTAAAAATCACGAAGCCATGAGGTTCTCAGGACCATGGTTTTGCTGGGTTTGCAATTAGAACCTGGGCGTCAGGGTTTGTTGATTCGCCCGAACGATCGGTGTGAGAATTTCCAGTCTCCGAGACGTTCCGCCAATCTCAGTGATAGGCAAGGCTTTTCACCTTTGAGGCCGCCTGGCTGGCCAGGTCAGCAGTGCCACTCCAGGTGAGGCGGATAGAACGAGAGACCCTCCATCCTTGGGTGATCAAAGGATATCAAAGGTGCATTTTTTTTTAAATTAAACCAACTCCACGGTCTGGACATGTCTGGACAACTGGGACTGGAAGAGTTACATGGATGGGTCATTTTGAAAATGGGATACAAAAATGACCCATCATGGATTCCTGGATGTAACTCGTCCCATGGGATGGTTTTAGATCGATTTGTAGAAAAAAATCACGGATGTCATGCTGCGTTGATTGATCAATATCAATACCCTCCAACATTTGAACATGTATATCACTTTCTGAACATATACATACATATATATATATATATAACCATGTTCTGAACACCATATGTACATTTGACCAATATCCTGTGCATCGCAAGTCCACGAAGGTCCGTCCTGGGTCGGCCTGGTCCGGACTTGGCCCACTTGGCTGACTGGGAGACCGGGACATGAGCTGTGGAGGATATAGACATGGTGTTTTTTTTGGACTTTGGGCACACTCGAACGAACACATCACATTGTTACCTGCACGAAAATAGGTCCCGAAAGGAAGACGAATTTTCACGAAGAACAGGTGCCATCCACTTCCGTGCACGTGCGTCATGGTGCTGAGGAGATGTTTGATCGAGACAAGGCACCGCCTCTGCCAAAGAATCAGCTGGGCTTTTTGCAATTCGACGCCTGGGCGGCAAGCACGGACATGGCACCGATTCGGGCCGGTCACGGACGGGACGGGAGAACCCAATGAAGTTCGACGAGGAGGTGGAACAAAAGCAGGAAACACCGGCAGAAGGGGCTACACATCGTACAAACCCATTGATGAGAGTGAAAAACCGTCTCGTTTTGGGTCCAGATTTTACGATGCAATGAGGAGTTGTTTGCATGGTACCATGTGCTTGGAAGGTAGAAACATGTAGAAACAACTGGAAATGCGGATTCCATTGGAACATCAGCTTTATTCAGATTGTTTTTACTCTTACAGTGTTGCTTGCCGATGGTTTCCGTTATTAGTTTACCTGCAGATGTGCTTGCCGCAAGAATGGCCGAGGAAATGTGGTTCGTCCCCGCTGTAAAGGGGAGAAACTGTGGTTCTTGTCTTACTGCAAATGGACCAAGAAAAGCAAGAAGTCTCCCAACTTCTTGCCAAAAGTCTTGGACTGCTTCCCTCAACTGATGCATTAAAAGGACTTTGCACAAGCTTGTGTCAGTGCTTGTGCCCAATTGCAGGGTGACCGGTTTGCCATCTCAAGCGGAAGGGCCGAGGCTCGTCCGCCACTCGGTGGCGGTCGGCGCCGTCGACTGGCGTTCTTTCGGCCAGTCACGAAGCAGCCCTAGTCCCCTACTGGAAATGAGTTCAGACACGCCGTGCAGACAAGATTGAACAATTGCAACTCTAATCACTTGAGGGGTTCTAAATGTGGCTTCGATCCGTCACCTAGCCTCCTGGGATCTGAGGTAATCCAACCGCTATGGAAGCCTATGGAGGCATTGCTGGATAGCAAGGCGCGCCCTGCCAGCCTCTTCCTCCATCGGAACATCAAGGCCCTGGCGACGTGCGGCGCGCGGCGTGGTGAGATTCATGGTGAGACAGACAGACCATCGCCTGTTGTCAGACGGTTAGGAGCTCCGTTGTACCCCCAAACAAGGTGTTACTGTAACGTGTTTCTTGATCGTGCAACCATGTATCTCAATTGTTTATATGACATCTTTTTGTTGACCATCTCCTGGAGTATTCTTGAAATATGGGAGCCGGTCTTGATTTGATTTGGCCTCCAACCGGCAGGGGGTCGTTGTCTTTTCCGCGTGGAGGCCAGGCCTCCAGGCCTCCGCACGACCACGACCCCATCCTGCCAAGCCATTCGGGGTCCGTGACTTCGCCATCGGGTTACGAAATTCAGGACTGGTCCAAATCCTTTGGTCCTGGAGTCCTGTTGTTCTTTTTGAATAGCATGGATGAGAATTCATGCATCTTCAATAGCTTCAATTTGTTTGTTGGAGGGGTGGTCCACTCCCTGAAATCATCCATGGAACTGGATGGCATGGCCCTGATTTCGGATGACGAAATCACCCACCAGGTGGCGTCATCCACGTAACCAGACCCCAAACAAATCAAGAAGTTTGGCCGCCCTGGTTTGTTGGTCTCTTTTTCGGAGTCGAGCTTACTCGCGAAGGTCCGGACGTGGTAAGTCTCTGGAGGACCAAGACCCCAGGGTTGATTTCAACCACCCCAACTGAGGTGTCAATATGCCAGTCCCATGGATTTGCTAGTGTTTGGGTGTGGAACAAGCTTCTTCCTGCCCTCATGTTTGGTGGTTTTGCCCTACTTTTCGCTGCACGGCACCCCATCGATCTCATTCCCATTGCCCGGTCTGGTGGTAGAATACATTCAACCTGTTCCGCGTCGCGGTCGCCTCCAGAAACGGATGAAACGCAGTCTCTGACCCAGTCACGGTAGAGTCTCTGAAAGTTCTTGGTCTGTCTTGAAAGAGCAGCTTTGCGCCAGGTTTGGCAGGAGGAGCTCGAGCCTGAGGCTTGAGAAGGACAGCGGACAGATGCTGACAGCGTTCTTCGGACTCGAGGAGCCGTGGGAGGGAGGGAGTTCGGCTGCGAGTCGTCCCCAAAAACAGCTGGGGACCTGGGGCGAAAAAGATGGCTCGAGCCGTTTTGGAGGTGCAAGATCGGTTTCAAGAGCATGACGTCCTAAAGAAAGTGTGTGTTTGATTCCCTTTTCCTGAATGGACTTAAATGGATTAATAGCAATAGTAGCCTCTTTTGTTTGAGGGGCTCTAAGCGGATTTTGTCGCGAAACAAGGGAAACATGGAAACCTGATGAGAGGCAAACTTCAAATCTCCAGGGACCTTACGTAAGTAACGAGGGAAAGCTGGAAGAAGGTGACCACCTGTAGTGTCCTGTAGAAAATGAACGGAGAATGACAAAAACTACCTAGCTTGATAGGTTCCAAGTTGGAAGCCCACCAATGTGTCTTGGCTCATTCAATCCAACTGAATCCAACTGATGGGTGTTTTTCACGAGTGCCAATTCACGAGCTCCGGAACCACCGCATTGACAGGAGCCGTCCGGATGAGAGCGACATACACATCGGTAGATCGCACAGATGGGCGTTCTTCGATGAGCAGATCGATGCGCTACGGGGAGAATCATCAAAATCCATTGTGGATCGTCTCCAAAGGACACGTTCGACACCGTCAGAACCCGTTTGCGGGTCAAGGCAAGTCTTGCCCATGATCGCCCATCCATGCTATAGAGCCTGCCATGGCTAGCTTTTGTGCCTGCCCCGAGATTGAAACCATGCTTTCGGAGACTAAAGGACTCAAGTGTTCAATTGCAGCGACGCACCTTGGGATGCCAACCAGCATCCGTCGATCAGGTACACCTCCCTCAAGACTCGTGGCCCAGTCAGTCTTCCCAGGCTATATCGGGAGTTTCCAAGCATAGCGATTGGCCTTTCAGTCCAAGAGTTCAGGGGAAGGCATAGTCTTTCCCAGTTGTTGTTCAATATTAACATCACCCCTTATCTAGAGCTGTACTCTAGATGAGAGGTATATCGGAATATGGTGTTAGCCTGCAAGTTCCCTTATTAAAAAGAATCAGGGAACATGGACCGGAAACCGGTATGAAAAAATAAGGTGACCTCCACAGACTGATAAAGATGAATATTGTGCCTCGTCGATCAGCGATTTCGCTGCCATCACCTACTGGTACTTGGCAGAATCCTGCGTGCTTTTAATTGGAAACTTCATGTGTCAGGATGTCTAAAGGGGTGATGAGTATGGTCATGTCACGTTTTCTTTGTCCTATGCTGTTCAACAAGTCCCGTCTTCACCAGGAACCAGCATTGGACACTGATGGGCGTGTCCTTCACTATCTTTTCTGCTGGTCGCCCCTGTCAAGAAGCACCTCCCCGCACAGCACCTCCCCGAAGACAGAAAAACAAAAACAAACAAAAAAAACCAGTCGGGCGCGAGCAGCCTTCGCGTGAGCTCATGAGCTTTCGCGAATGTTCGCTCGTGTGGTCGAATTGTGAAGGGAGGTAGTGAATCATGATGAATCGTGAAGAAACTGACCAAAAAACAATAACATCTCACTGTCCAAAAAGGCGTGCTCAACCAGACGCGTATGGATCGTCCTGTTTTGAAGGGACGTTTTACTCACCCACGAGTTTGGATGAGTTGGCACCAACCAAAACCTGCAAGTTTGGGACCCCCCAAAACTCAGGTCTTTCATGGTATTTCTCACCTCGGATCGTCATCAGAGTCCTGGGGTGGGCCGTCCGTCGAGTTCTGGGCCCGGTTTTAAGTCCGTCTCGCATCGACCGCTCTCGATGCGAGACAGTGAGTCCAATGTGAGTCGATGTGAGCCGATGGTTCGATGAGTGGAAGGGATGATGAGACGTTCGGATGTTCCCATTAAAACCAAAAGAAGAACCACATGGATCGGTTTGGAATGGATGACCGCCCCAGAAAGACCACCTTTTTCAATCTGTTTCAACCATATAGATCCATAATATAGATCATATAAATGCAACAGGTGTGTGGATATACATATATTATATATATATATATCTTATATAATCATGTGTATGTATAAATGCGAGCAGTTCTGTTTGGTTCTGCTTGGGCGAACGAAACTAGTCTTAGGGGGTGTGGGGTGGCTAAAAATTTGGAGGTTTGGGAGGGTGAACCCAGAGCCTGCTGGTGGAGAGCGAAAATGAGGGCCCTTGTGATGCGAATGATGTCGCAGCGGTTGATGCTAGCGTTTTTTGCGTCATCGACTGGGCATGACGGGATCTCCCGGAGTGCTTTGCCAATTTGTCGGCTGCAGTATGATGACATGTATTGAGTGCGTGGCGTCAAGCCACGCATGAAGTTATTGGCAGAGATCTAGATGCAGGGTCTCGAGGAAAAACCCTTAGACCGCATGTCTGGGCTAGTGCCCTTTTGCGTTGTGCCTCTGCCAAGGCCCCGTGTCAGGCCAAAAAAGAACACTTCCTGCAGCAATGACTTATCCATGCAGAAGCCACTTTTCTGGGGTGGCGCCCTTGTGTTTGGAGGCCATCTCGAGACCCAAATGGGCAAACTTGACTTCAAACATCTCCGCTCCGTCTACTTGGCTCAGCAGAGAGTCATCCTTGACTTCGATATGTTTGGGTTGAAAAAATGTGCCAAGTTCTCCCAGAAAAGACCTCAGCGAGGAGTTCTTTGTTGGTGCGCCTTGTTTGGGGGCCGTCTCGGCTCGGTCTCCGAAAAGTGGGCTCTAACAATAAGGCACTTGACAAAGCAGGACATGGCAGATGCATCTTCGAACCATTCAAAAGAATCTTGCAAGGCGCCCGCTGGTTGAAATGAATTGCCAAATCAGGTATCGAAAGACACTAGGTTATACAGATCTAGATGCCAAGGGCCGAAGAAGAAAACCCTTAAGCCGCATTTATGGGCTCATCACTCCTCATAGAAAACTCATTTCTATGCCCTTCTGCGCTTTGTTTGAGGGTCATCTCGTAGAAAAAAAAAGGGCACCTTTGGAAAAGCGCGTTCTATCACCAACTTCCCCCAGAAAAGACTTTATGGAGGAATTTTGTTGCTGCCCTGCCGTGTTTTGTTTGGAGGCCGTCTTGCGGCAAAAGAGGGTATACGTTCTAGCGGTGGGGCATTGGACGAAGCAGGACATGGCAGATGCATAGACTTGAGCATTTCAAACGAATCTTGTGAACACTGTGCACACACGAAGAGATACAGTAGTCCCCTTTCTAATCAATGACCATTAGAATGGCAAGTGGTTCACATCGATCCTTGCTGATATCTCGGCACACATCGATCTCAGCGATCCTTTTGTGTGGAGTACTCTTGAAGGCTACGGGATTGGACTTACCATCACAATCCATGAACAACCTCTCGCTCAGCCTCCTGCCTGCAGATGTTCACTGTCTCGCTCGCAAGAAACTGTACTTGGGCGACTCAGCCGGGAATGACGGAATAAACAACCCTCACTATGAAACTTATGGATCCAGCCACGCTCATTCTATGCACTCGTCGCACTAGTAGAGGGACCAAAGTCAAAGTTATTTTGGCGTTGTGGTTTATCATGTGTTTAAAGATTTGGTATGCTTGCACAAGTGTCATTGAAGACAACAGGTTCCAATCAAATGTCACTGAATTCTATAATTATGACCATTGAGCAGGGTGGACACAGATCCTTGCCGTACATGTTTTGCGTCTCCTGCGTCGCGTGTGATGAATTTCCTCCTCAGTGATTTTCAGTCAACTTCAAGAACCGCACCGGGCGTCGCGGTAGGTTGATCCATGTTGGTTTTCTGGAAGTTAACCAACGACCCCTGCTGAGAAGGTGTTTAGGATGGGTAAATGCCGTTTGCTCCTTCCCCTGCCTTCTTTCAGAAATACGACTGGATGGAGCCCTAATGTAGTATCAGTCAAGAGTCAACATTAGGGAGAAATCCTCAAATGTCCGACGTTCAGCCTTTGGGACGCCCGCAGCCTTTGGGACGCCGGTCGCGCGTGGGGAGAGCCGACTGTTCTCAGACGGCACCACGAACGGCCATTCTTTGAGCGTTCAAAGATGCTCAAACGCACAAAAAGTCCAGCTGTGATGGTGAGAGTGGAACCAGAAGTGACTTAACCCCAATTGGTCCAGTTGGCTCCACTGGTCGCAGTGTCGTTTGGCTGTTTGTTCACAGTGTCTGAGGCTGTTGGCAGGCTCAAAAAAAGAAACAGTCTGGGCAAAGTAC